ATGAAATCTGTTGTGCCAGCTCTCTTCTTCTATACGAATCATAGGAAGAAGGATGAACTCTCACGGTATGAAGCCATGGTTTGGAAGCTCATTATGTCCTTTCAGTGGCTAAAACTGATTTCAGTTGATTGTTGGAGACAATCTGTTCACTCATACCTGGTCATTAGCAGTCGAGATCCAGTTTTACCTAATTGTTCCTTTCATCTATTTATCCGAACGAATTCTCGGAACTCCAAAATCAGCTATTCTTATTCCTGGCATTAGTTGTGTTTGCTACGTTTCTTCTCTTCAACTTTTTTTTCCAGGTGCTTGCTCTCTTGCTTTTTACCTTTGGGCTCACCAAGACATATCATTCAACTTCGTCGTTGCTCGCCTCTGGCAGTTCCTTTCGGGTTACTTAGCTTATCTCAAAACATACGCAGAAAATGAGACTGTTCCGGTTGTGAAAGTTGTTCCAACAGATATAGCTATGGAGAATATCTCAGAGAAAGTAGAAGCTACGGCAGAAGTTGAAGGTGAGGAACTCAAAACATTCATAGATTCAATTGAAAATTCATTTGCAGACCAGAAGAGCAAATCTAATCAGTTGAAAGTTAATATCTTTGTTGCAACGCTTTTTGTTCTAATTGCTCTCCTCGGATTCGTTCCTTTACAAACACTCCACAAAGATGTTCTGAGGTTTGAAACTACGCTAGAAAGTTTTAAAAAATGGCATCAGGTTGGTGATGACCATCTTGGCATCGCTGTTTGTCTACATAGGATTGAAATCAACTCTCAACTTCGGCTTACTTGCTCCATTTTGGTATTTAGGAGATGTTTCCTACATATTATACTTAGTTCATTATCCCGTCTACGTTTACCTGAATCTTAATTTCAAATTGGAGCTTTACTGTTAGTTTGAAAAGGATATGAATAGTATAGGTTTTGGTTTAGGGAGAGCCGCAGGAATAATTGCTTCTTTCGTCATGGCGGTCATTATACATGAATCCTATGAAAAAACTTATCTGAGATTGAAAAAGAAGTTCATCTTCGCACTTATCACACTTTTATATATTGGCTGCATTTCCATTCGTATCTTCAATCCGCAAATCCAAGCATTCTTGTATGGGAAGGAAATAAACTACAAAGATGTTATAGCTCATCCCACGGAGTATTCCATAAGTAAGGAAAGCTCCGAGTTATATAGAATAATATCAATGTTCAGCTGAAATTACAAATGTTAACATTCAATTTAATGGAGCAGATAGTCCCAATATGATGTTCTCTGAATGCGATTACGAAGATGGAGAAGGGCCTTTTGGTTACTGTCACATGAAGGTTATATCTCTTGAGGAGTATTTAAGCTCAATGTCACTCTATTATAGGGAAATCCGAAAAGCAATCGTACAGCAATGATCATTGGAAACAGTTATGCCCCTAATCTTGTCAAAAACTTCTATGCAGGATGCCATAACAAGTTCAAAAACATAACGATGCTCACTACCTCAGGTAAAAGATTCTTTCATTCATTGTTCCATGAAATGTATGAATCATTACAGGATGTGAGTCGCTGTGGGACACTGATGCTGATTTCTGTGTAGGCGATCTACAAGATCGTCTGGACGCAGTGAAACAATATTCACCTGATTATCTCTTCATTCTCGAAAGGTTATATTCAAGAACAGACTATAGAAGCTGAACTTCTTTCTTAGGAATATGCATGCGATGCCTGTTGGACCAAGAAATTTAACCGATGAAAATCGAAGAGTTAAGATTATTAAAAGCTACATCGATCATTATCAGAAATATGTGAAAACAAAAATATTCATTTTGGATGCTTTTCCTCGTCCTCCAAAAAGCATAGCCAAAAGAGTTAATGCTGCATTGCAACAACAGCAAAGGACAAATAACTTGTTTAAGAGAGTAAGTACTATATGTAAGGACTAAACTATGATTTTTACAGCAACTAACCGATGGAGATCATCCTAACTGGAGATCAATGAGAAAAATCTTCCGAAAAATCCTAAGACATTGTCCAAAATGTCATCTGATGGATATAATGCCTTACTTGAGAACAAAGGAGAATGTGTTTAATTTTTATGATCCCCAAAGTGGCCTAATATATTTCTCAAATGCACTCCATCTAACAGCTTACGGCAACGACAAGGTGTCACCCCTTTTCCCAAAAACTTGTGACACTTCGTTATAAATTAATAATATACTGATTAGACATATAAATAGATTTTGTTAAGTTTTCTTACTGTGTTCCTTATTTGGCTTTCTGAAGCTTGAGAACTTTGACCACTAGAGATGAGTCAGGCTTCTTCTGAACTCTTCGACTAAATATTATTCGTCCCTTACAGATTGAGTCACGCGGGTGTTTCTTATTATCATAGTGCGCTAACTTTTATGAGACATCTTCGGAATAGTTCTTGGTTTAGTATTGACAACTCAAGAGAAAAGTTGTAACGAATGTATCAAACCAATTTGGATCATTCTCCCAGAAGTTACAAATGTTTTTACAGTACACTGCTCACTGAAGTTGTGAAATGAAAATGAAAATTTTCGCTTTCATACTCCATCAGAGAAGCAGCACTGGTACGGTTAGGCATGCCCTTTTCATTCCATTTATAACTTCCGTGTTGATCGGCTGTTCATGTGGTTTATTACCACGTACTGTTGCCTATTCATTGCGGGAAGGATGAAACAAATTTGAACTTTGTTTGTTCTAGTTACGCGCTCCACTGCTAATCTTGATATTTGTATCTTTCTAGATCATAGCATCCCATTACAAATAACTTGTTCCAATACTCTGTGTAGTTTGGTATATGAATTGAATGAATTCCTCTGCTCGAGTATGTTCTCACCACATACTGCTAGATTCCAGAGTTTTGAACTTGTTCATATAGAGTACTTCTCGATGAACGTTTTGAGTTGTTTGTTCTACAAGTGTTGTTTGTTCGTCATTTGA